ATATATGAGGTGTGCTGACAAAATTAGTTATTTCTTGTTATCCACCACTGGAGATATTGGCAAAAAATCGACACTTGGGTCAGACTAGTATATTTTTTAAATTGATGCCATATTCTGTATGTATAACATGCCTTTATAATTTCATACTTATACATTTTATCGAAAAAAAGAAGAAAATTAATCCGAAAAAAGAGACTAAAACAGCACATGGACATGGATGGCTGGTGCCTCTATAAATAAATCATTGATGGTCAAGGTCAAGGACTTATAAATTGTAAAACGTTCCCGTATAAGCGTAATGTATCAATTTCCACAGGGCTAGAATCCGAGAAGTAACCCATTTTGTAAGCACGCTTCACACACACACACATACACAAATGTATAGTAGTTTATATTATATATACGTATACAAATATATACATACACACACACACACACACACACACACACACACACACACACACACACACACACACACACACACACACACCCCCTTTCTCTACCATTTTCTCCTCTTTCGCGCTCAGATCACCGTGGCAGACGACAAGTGGAAAGTCCTTGACCCTGACGCTCACGAAAGCCTATCTTTTGCTTTGGTCAAATCCTCCTATCCCGGAATGTTTGGCGTCGACTCCAAAACAGGTAATGATATCTTAAATTGTTTCTTCTAGTTAGTTTTAGTAGAGGTTTTACGGCGCTTGCAACTGCACACGGTCATTTGAGCGTCAAGGGGTGGATGTCAACAGAGAAGTCCTTAACTTACAGGGAATCAGGCGTACTCTGCTCACCTCTCTTGCTTCAACAGCAGAAAGTCTGCTTCAACTATCAAGGCACCCCGGAAATAAGGGGCCACAAGAGTGTGACAAACATACAAAAGAAGTAGAGGAAAATGACGTTAGTAAGGATTAGGAAAGAAAAGGCAGCAGTTCCTTGTTGCAGTTCAGGCACAGTTATGAGCAAGACATTGACGAATCAGCCCATTTACAATTACAATTCTACCGTGCATTAGAACTGGAGATGTTAATGCCCCCCCCCCTTTGGGAATGGCCTGAAGACACTTCAGTCAGTCGCACCGCCCCGAGGATGTGTTAATTGTTTCTCCAGTATGTTTCCGTTGTTCATTGTTTATTACTCATGATTAAGCGCCCAGAGCGTATACTTGTACCAGTAGAGTGCTATACAGTGGCGCCAAAAAGAAACTTGAAAATGTGACCACTTAATCATTGTGTTAAAGCCTTTGCAGGACTCATTCATGTAGCATATTAATTTAAAGCTAAATAAATTTTGTATCAGCTGACATTTTAAGAAATTACTTAATTCTGCATTATCTTGTTTCTCTCTTTCTCATTGTTTGTGTGTGTGTGTGTGTGTGTGTGTGTGTGTTTTGTGCGTCTGTGAGAGAGAGAGAGAGAGGGGGGGGTAGA